TAGAGAAAAATGTTTAAGATCCATATAATGAAAACGTATATGCAATATATATAGGAAAATGTATATTATCTGGTGGACAGACCTTGGTATTTAAAACTCAGGCTAGTCCTGCCTGTGAGTGAGCTGTTAGCTTGGTAAATTTGGATCCTAATGGGTAAGTGTTTACGATTTACTTGAAAACCTGGATAAACTGCTTGGACATTTCTAAATTACGTTAACAATCAAGTGTAAGCTGATTAATTGTATCTGATATTGTTTACAATCAAGTTGGGTGGGAAGTCTCTGTGTGGACAAACAGGATCTGGTGGGTGGGCCTTGGAATTTAAAACTCAGTTGAGACCTTGAGCCTGTGGCCCTCAGGCCTGCTATTGATTATGTTTAGAAATAGCATTGTTATAGTTGGTGCTGCACTTTTCTATCAGTTTGCTGTACTGTGATTACATGGAGTTTCTATGATACTGAAAGCTTTGGTAGTGCTGTGTCAATATTCCCAAAGGGTTTCCCATCATGAACAAGTTTTGGTGGAGCTCCCTGATTAAGAAAGTCTAGGAAGCAGGATGGGCCATCTACTTCCTAAACACAAGGCTTTTGAAAACAGTATGAAAACTGAGTAATACATATATAAAAATGTAAATTATTGTTGTTGTTATGTGCCATAAAGTCACCTACAATTCATCACAACTCTATGCACCATAGCTCTGAAGCCTGCTCTGCAATGAGCCAGTCTCACTGACTCTGACACACCTATCCCCATTGCCTCAGTTAGTGTATCATTCCATCTCATCTGGGGTCTTCCTCTCCTACACTGTCCATCTACACTTCCAAGCATTTTGTCCTTCTCCAATGACTGGTGTCTCTTGGCCATGTGCCCAAATCATGTGAGATAGAGGTTTAAAATCCAAGCCTCCAATGAGAAACTTGGTTTCACTCTCTCTAAGACGGACCTATTTGTTTTCTTAGCAGTCCATGGTATATTCAAGACTCTTCTCCAGCACCACAACTCAAAGGCATTGATTCTTCTTCTGTCATCCTTAGTCATGATCAAGCTCTCTGATTATAGCATGTAACTGTGAAGACCATAGCCGGATTCAGGCATACCTTAGTCTCTACACCGACATCATTGTTTCTCAGTACTCTGGAGAAGTCCGTGACAGCAGGTTTTCCAAGTACAATTTGTCTTTTAATTTCGTGACTGCTGGTGCCAAGAGTGTTGATTTTTTTAGCCCCCCCCCAAGTTAAAACTGCTAATAATCTCAATCTCTTCTCCATCTATCATGGGGTTGACAATTGACTCCAGTGGATATAATCCATATATAAAAATGTGTATGTTGTTGTTGTTGGGGGTGGTGTATCATCCAGTCAGAACTGACCCATTGCTGAGCCTGGGTGGGTTTTTAGAGGTGGTTAATCAGATGGGAGGAGATTACACAACTTTCTCCTGCAGAGCAGCTGGTGCCCTAAAACCACATGCCTTCAGGATTGTTGTGCAGCATCTTCCACTAAGCCACCAGAGCTCTTAATAATGGTATTTAATACATCTATAACAATGTATATCTAATGCTATAATGGTTACCCATGGTGGACAGTGTTTGGTGGAGCTGCCTGATTAAAACAAGCTTGGAAGCAGGAGTGGCATGAACCTGGAGAAAGGATGAAAGTCACACAAGTGTCGAGGACTTTCATTCATGGGGGCACTATGAGTTGCAAACGACCCCACAGCACTTAACAACAACAACTTAACTATATCTATGTAGACCAGAATAAGCTGGAAGAAAAAATAATGTTTAGAGAACACTGAGGACCTACCACCACTCAGAAGGTCACACAAATCTAGAAACTCCTAGAAATAGGAAGAGCTGATGATAGATACTCAGAATGTCCTAGTCACAGTTAGAGTCTGAGGTAGTCACAGCTGGACCCTCCACTGAGCCTCAAGCTTTAACACCAAGAGTTTGTTCTCTAGCAAAAAAACTCTCTTTCCTCTGAGCCACTTTGCCTTGAAGGACTTTCAATGAGTGCTTCTGAAATAAAAAGGGAGAAGTGGGGCCTCAAAGAAAGTCATCCTCATGGAGTAGTTATGTCTGAGTGACAGCAGCACACTGAGTGAACTATCTCAGTACAAAAGGACAAATACTGAATTTTTTTTTCTACAAGAGAAAAATGAACTGGGGGAGGTGTGGACAGGGAAGAAAATGTGCAACAGTCAACGAATAGGGAGCCAAATAAATGGAAAGTATAGGCTGTAAAAAATATGTATGATGCATTAAAAATCATTAATAAAAAAATTAATTTAAAAAAAAGTGGAGTGGAAATCCTCTGATCTTCTGATCAGCTGGGTGTTCCCCTCCTGGCAGATAAGAAAGTGGTTTTTGTCTCACTTCCCTACATTACGGAGCACTGTGTGAACAATGAGCTGCTGTCATAGGATGCACAATAATATTGAGCCTCGTCCTCTTCCTGCAACCCAGTGATGGTCAGGGAGGCAGAGTTTCCAGACTTGGAACCTGAGAATCTCTCTGGGATTCCTGAGGGTCGATTGCTAGTACCATAGATGATTTGTTTAGGGGATGTTCCTGGGAGTTGTTGGTACCAGTTTGCACCATAACTTCCAATGTTGGTGCTGCTCCCAGTGCAGGAGATGGTGACCTGTTCACCCAGGTTCCCAGACATTGAGGGTGGTTGAGTCAGCACAGACTGGGCCCAGGATCCTGCAAGTGGGAAGACACACAAAAAGTGACCCAGTAATCCAGTGACAGGAGAGAAATCAGGACCCCTTCTCTTGACCCTAGTCTAGTACCTGTGCAGAGAGCTAGGAGGGAGATGAGGTGAGGAGCCCAGGCCATGGTGGAGATGTCCACGAGTCCTGTCTTCTGTTGACTTACTGCTACTTCAGAGCTTTCTCATCCTCCCATGTCCTCTTCATACTCTGAGAGAAGGGAGGGTTTTTTCATGCAAATGATTTAATCTCAAATTTCTGAACCCACCCTGGGCCCACCTGAGCCAAGCTCTTGTAAATATGAAAAGGCAGTGAGATGGGGCAATGCTGGTCTGTGTGGTTTCTATGGGTGTGGATGGTCCCAGGTGACAGCACCAGGCTGATCAGGGTTCTGGCTCCCAACTGTCATCACCCAGAGACACCTCAGGAATGGATCATGAGCGCCCCCTCCTGCCCAGATTGTGACAGAGCCTTGACGTGACAGTTCCTGCCTCCTCACTGCTCTGTCCTCTACTCCTCAGGCCAGGCCAGGCCATCCCTTAATGTGATGTCCTCAGTGCCTCAGGGTACTCTCTTTTAAATAAGAATCTTCAGCACTGCATCTCTTCATGAATACAGTGAATCTTCAGGTGGTGAAACTCCTCCTAAAATATTGCTCTTATTCAGTAAGTCAGTAAAGGATTAATATGATTTAGTCCCACTGAAAATGTCCTAGTGTGTCAGTTATGAGTGTGCTCCAACTCAACAGCACATAGTAACAACATTTTTCTATGTAAGTCTTTTTCTTTCTTTTATTTGATTTCTTAAAAGACAGTTTATAAATATGTTTATAGTATACTCGAGGTATTTTCTTAATTCATTACTTCATTGAGTAGAAACCAATTTTTTTAATGCAGATTTCCCCCACACTTTCCTTCACTGATATTATGTTTCATACAATCATTCCCTATGTTATGTTTTATAAAATTAATCACCGTTGGACTATGCCTATTGTTATTTTACCTCTTCAGGTCTTTGCTCGATCTTTCCATTTCCTTTACCACCTCTGCATCCACCAAATTGTGTGGCCCTCAGATTTCCCCCCTACCCATCATTACCCTTCTACTCCCACCCTTTCCCAGCTGGGGCCTTCATGCAGGTTTTTGCTTATTTATTTGTTTTCCTCTTATTTCTTGAAAAAGTTCAAATACATTGTTTTTCACATCAAATCTTTCCCATTTTCTTCATCCCTCCCATCAAATTGTATGACCATGTAATTAACCCCATCCCCCCACCCATCCTCACACCTCTGCTTCCACCCTCCCCCACCCTTGCATCCTCATACTCATTCTACACTAATGAATTTATATAGTATTTGTCCTTACGGGATTGTGTTAATTCACCCAACATAATGCTCTCCAGTCCCTCCCAAGTTAGGGAGTAATTTAAAAACCATTGCTTCTGCATGCCACATAGTATTGTGTGACTGTACCATAATTTCTCGATCCATTCAATTGTGGTTAGACATCTGGGCTGTTTCCATGTTCTTGAGATGGTGAATAATGCTATGAACATTGATGTACAAGTCTCTGTACTTCAGTTCTCAATTTCTTGGGGTATATGCCAAGCAGCAGAAATACTGGGTCACATAGAATGTATGTTCAGCTTTTTGAGGAAGCGCTAAACTGCTTTCTAGAGTGGTTGTACCATTTTACAATCCCACCAACAATGTAGAAGAGATCCTATTTCACAACATCCTCTCTGTCATTTATTACTTGCTGTCCTGCTAAACTTTGTTAAAAATTTTTTGTTAATAAAAGTTTTGTTAACGAAAATCCCACCAACAGTGTAGAGGAGTTCCTAGTTTGCAACATCCTCTCCAACATTTATTACATGCTGTCCTGTTAAACTTAGCCACTGCACTTGCTGCAGAGGGTCAAGGACTGCCACCTTCTATATGGATTGATGCTCAAAATCAAGAAAAGAGAGATTCTCACCACTGGGCCAATTGGCAGCATCAGGATGGATGGTGAATAGATTGAGACTATTCACAGCTTTAGTTTACTTGGCTCCACAGTCAATACTCTTGGCACTAGCAGCCAGGAAATTTAAATACATATTGCGATGGGAAATTCTGTTCTTAGGAACCTTTCCAAAGTACTGAAGAGCAATGGTGCCACTTTGGAGACTAAGGTGTGTCTGACAAAGGCTATACTTTGTAATCACTTGGTATGTGTCACAGAGCTGGACAATGACTAGGGAGGATAGAAAGAGAATTGATGTCTTTGAGATGTAATGTTGGAGAAGAATATTGAATATACCATGGACTGCTAGGAAAACGAACAGGTTCATCCTAGAGGGGGTTAAACAAGACTGTTCCTTGGAGGCAAGGATTCTGAAGCTTCATCTGACATACTTTGGACATGTTGCAAGGAGGGACCAATCCTTGGAGAAGGACATCATGCTTGGGAGGGTGGAGAAACACTGCAGGAGAGAAAGACCCTCTATGAAGTGGATTGATTCAGTGACTGGGGTAATTGAGGCAGGTAGGTCGGAGACAGTGAGATTGGCATGGGATAGAGCAGGGTTTAAGACAGTTGTGCATAGGGTCGCTATGAGTCACTGGTGACTCAATGGCACATAACAACATCAACAACAACAATATTGAATCTTTGGGGTTTTCTGTGTATACAATCATATCAACTGCATATAGCAATAGTTTAAGCATTTATTTGACAATCTGGATGCCTTTTATGTCCTTCTTTGTCCTTTTGCCCTAGGAATCTCTTTCAATACAATATTGAATAGAAGTGGTGACAGTGGGCATCCTTGTCTGGTCCCTGTTTGCAAGGAAAATTACTTTATTCTTTCTCTATTAAGAATGATATTGGCTCTTGGTTTTGCATATATACTTTCACTATGTTGAGGAAATACACTTTTATTTTAATTTTGCTGAGTGTCTTTATCAGGAATGGATGTTGGATTTTGTAAAATACCTTTTCTCCACCAATTGCTAAGAGCATATGATACTTGTTATTTATTGTGTTAATATGGTGATTTACATTGATTGTTTTTCTTATGTTGAACCATCCTTGCATGCTTGCGGGTTGTGGTGACTTTTTTTATGTACTTTTGGATTCTATTGGCAAGAATTTTGTTAAGGATTTTTGCATCTGTATCCATGAGAGATATTTGTCTGTAGTTTTCTTTCTTGGCAATGTCTTTGTCTGGTTTTGCTATTAGGGTTATGTCTGGAAGTGTTCCTCCTTTTTCAATTTTTAAAAATAGTTTAAGTAGATTGATGATAGATCCTCTCTGAATGTTTGGTAGAATTCAGCTGTGAAGCCATTTAGTCCAGGACTTTTCTTATGGAGAAGTCTTTTTAATGATCTTTCCAATTCCTTATTTTATGATAAGTCTGCTCAAGTGTTCTATATCTGTCCTTGTCAATCATGGTAAGTCATGAGTATCAAGGAATTTGCATATTTCATATAGATTTCCCAATTTATCAGAGTATAGCTTTTCATAGTATTCTCATTTTATGGATTTAATTTCACCTGGTTCTGTTATGATGCCAACTCTGGTATTTCTTAATCAAGTTATCCATGTCAATAACAAAGCATTTCATAGTATCCTACATGTTATACTGGCTCCTTAAATAACTGAAATAAGGAACACTTGTCATCTATTCCAAGGGGCCTCTCCCAAGACAATCTCATGCAGATATTTAAGGAAGAGTTGGTTTGTTGAAGGCCAGCTGAAACACACTCCCTCTAGACATTTTAGGAAAATCTCTAACATCGGACACATTCTAAAGTTGGACTGGTGAATAGTGTTCTTAAGGTATGTAATGAGAAAGAAAAAAAAAAAAAGTTAATTTCCAGGAATACCATGCATTGGCAGTAGGAACAGTACTGGGTGAGCTCAGGATTGAATGTGTTTGATCCCAAGAATTACAACAGCCATCTGCCTCCATCTGTGCTGTGCCCAGTAACCCTCATCTCTGTGACCCCTCAGATGTGGCTACTGCAGTCTCCCTACTCCTTCCTCTATTGGGCTTTGAAAAACAGGGACAACATGTAGCTCTGCCTTGCTATGCAGACTCAGGAATCCTGGGGATAGGGAGGCAACTACTGCCCAGATGATTAATGACTTTATGAGTAGAACAGTTATTCAATTTCCTGATTTTCTACTAAATGGAGTCAGGTGTAGTCCATAGTTGAGTTATAGGTGTCTTCTCCCCCTCACTCCCTCCCCTCCCCCAATCCCCCTTTGTTAAGTTTGCCATTGGCTTTCAATTTTATTGACCCCTTCAAAAAACCAGTTCCGGGTCTTATTGCTGGTTTCAATTATTTTTCTGTTTTCTATCTCATTGCTTTCAGCTCTTGTTCTTATAATTTCTTTTCTTCTATAAGTTGTAGGATTAGATTGTTGTTCTTTTTCTGTTTGCTGAAGGTGTTTAGTTAGATCGTTGGTTCTTCTCCTTTCTTCCTTTTTTATGTGTGTTCCTATTGCTGTGAACTGGCCCCAAGGACTGCCTTAGCTATGTCTCAAAGGTTTTGGTAAATTGTATTTTCATTACCATTTATTTCAAGGAACATTTTTATTCCAGTCTTTATTTCTGTTATATCACAATCATGTTCTAGCAGAGAGTTATTTAATGTCCACATTGGTGGTTTTGTAAGCTTTACTCTCCTGTGGTTAATGTCTGGTTTTATGGAATTGTGGTCTGAGAAGATACTTTTTATTAATTCAATGATTTTTTAAATTTGTTGAGGCTTGCTTTGTGTTTTATAATATATGATTGACTCTGGAGAATGTACCATGTGCACTTGAGAAGAAAGTGAATTGAGTTTTAGTTGAGCCAGTACCCTGAATACATTCACAAAGTCAAGTTGGCTGATAGTATAGTTTAGATCTTTTGCATCTTTGTTGAGTTTCTTTTGACTTGACCTATCCTTTGGTGATAGTGGTGTATTGAAATCTCCTACCACTATTGTGGTGCTTCAATTCTGTTAACCATTGTTTTATGTATTTTGCAGCTCTACCAGCTAGCTGGTGCTTTAATTTTGACCAGGCTTATGTCTTCTTGATCTGTTGTGTTTTAAACAGTATATAATGCCCTTTTTTATCTTAGATGGCGGTTTC